TAATGTTTATTTTGTGCAAACACTTTGTTTATCTTTTCATGTAATCGCATTTATTTTCGATGTACACTTTAGTGCCACGCTCGTCTGAAGCCAATCGCTGTAATGAAAAGTGGCAGGGAAACCCATAGCAAAGAAGAATGCATAACTAGACATATTTTTAAAGACTTTGAGAGGTCCAATTGATGTTAAAATGTTTCCATTACCGGTTCAATTATGTAGGCCGTGTAATAGGAATATCGTTTGGGTTGATATTTAATAACGAACAGTGTGGAGATGTTTTGTTAGATAATGAATTGTGTGTTGTTTTGATAATAGTATAACATGAATTTCTTTCATGTGAGTGTTTTGTATAGAAGTTAAGGCAATTAATGACTTCATGATCTAATAATAATCGAGAAAACAAATTGGATAATGTATTATAAGCTTAATGAAAATGGGTTCGTATTTAGAGCTTCCGGGGTAATATGTTTACAATTGAAGCTTAGCGCAAAGATACATTGTACCGCATTCCAGGCTAAGTATAGCAATCTAAAAGGATATGTAAGAATCAAAGATTTATTGAATTTCAGATAAAGTAATAGATGTCTGCTTATTATTTTGGTTAATCAACTTGCTGAACCCTGGAGATACAAGAGAAAGCATTGCTGATCCAATTGTTGTGTGCAACTATACAGCAAAAGTAAACGGGTATGCATTATTTTATGAGTTAAGGTGGTATTTCGGGGGATATCCCTTATTTAAAAAATAGTCAGTTGCAATTCCTCAAAACTGCTTCAAGTAAAGCAGCTTTAGAGATGTAATAGAAAAGTTAAAACGAAATGTCTTGTATAGACAGGTAACCTTTAGCCAGAGGTTCCAAAACAACTAAATTGAATTACTCTCCTTTGTAGGCAGTTCAATATCATACAAATGTAGTGCTACAGTAACATACTACAGAAGAAACCGTATACACTGAAAGGTTACATTGGGATTGTGTATTAGTCCTGTGTCTACACACGTGAAAGGGCAGAGAAAGATGAATAGTTTCTAAGGAAAAAAAGAAGAAACAAATCACCTCGTAGTCAATCTTTTTTTTATTAGATATCTCTATAAATTGATGTCATCTTTCCACGTTTTTATTTATTCAAAAATAATAATAAGTTTTATTAAAGATTGATGGTATGCTAAATCAATTTTTTTTAAATGAAAATAAAATTAGAATATGGTTGAATTTTGAGATTAGACTCGAATATATATATCTCGCGAATTACACGTAGTTCACAGTAATTTCATGAAACTTGATAAAGCCGAGTCCAGTACAGACACAAATTATTAGTAAAGGATGATACAAAAGATATACTAATGTACAAGTGTTTTTTCTGATAGTGTTGTGCGAGAAATTTATATATTAAATGTAAATTACACTGATTTATACTTATATCTAGTCAGATATGTATGAATACATTTATTATTCTTACATAAAGTAAATATATGTTTGTTTCGAACGCTCTTTTACCTCATTCAACAAATAATGTACATATATATTACAGTAGTGTTTCTTAATAGTGTTCACAATATTGATACACGTATTAGTATAAAAATGTTTTTATTGCAATCCTCAGCTCGGAGGCAAAGCGTTATAATCCTATTAACGCGAAAACCCCATTAGACTTGAAACAGAATATAAAAACAACTGATATTTCACTCAGATCCCTGTTTGATGTAAATACGATAAATTTTCTGTTTATCTTGCAAACTTACGCCCCAGACCTCACCCCTGTATCCTACCGTATCCCCCTGTCCGCACAGGGAACGCTCATAACAGAGGTATAGAGTCAGACATCGCACTTAGGGCCAATCATACTGGGGAGGCTGCCATCATTAGACCACCCAGCAGATATCCCAGTAACCGCATAGGTTTGTCTACATTAGCAGGCAATTCTCTTTCCTTCCATTTGTGAGGAAATTATGTTAATTGATTCTCAAACTGAATACTCGCTAAGTTCCGCACGTTTAGTCTTTGCGAAGTCATTAGTTAAATTGCTTTTCCAATTAACAAATTGTCTTTTTTTGCGCGCGTGTGTGTGTAGAAATTAACCTGAATGATTTTTACAGAAACCAAGCATTTTTTTTGTCCACGTCCTGTAATAAAACTCTTAGGTTTTTCGGAGTTGCAAATTGTCAATTTGGTTATGTTTTGTGTCAGATTTAGTTCTTAGCAACAGTCGCAGAGAATCACATAATTGACGGGGTTTTAAAATATAACGTTCGCCTAATTGATTTGTGAACCGACAAATCGTCTGGTGGATTGTTAGCTTTTTAGACTATAAAGGTGCTTTGGTGGTGTAATTGTCTGAGGCGAATCACCTTATATCACGGACGGTTCACTTTTCCCAGGTAGTAGCACAGAACACACAGTACACATGGGGTGGACTATGTTGCTAGTAAAATGGCAGAACACACGAATTATCAACAGAATGTTGGCAGCTTCTCCTCAAACCTATCGGCGAAACACTGTCGTATAAGAATCAATCTAAATCTTTAGACACAGGTATATTTCTCTAATTCAATAAAAACAATTTACTTAATTAGCATATGACTTTCCTTCAGAGATATGTCTTGCATTAATTAATCATAATTTTACGTTTCATTTTTGGTTTTTAACCTTTGCGTATCTAATTTAACTTCTTTGTATATATTATTATATAAAACTTTATTTTTTCGGAGATAGTAAAATGCTGCTGAAGTGTTTAATATGTATTGTTGGTTTAAACTTAATATGATTCAGGAAAGTTCTATGTATGTAAGTGAATTGTATAAAGATTATTTGATTCGGGAAATTTCTACGTTTGCAAATGCATTGTTTAAAGAGGTTCAGGGTACGAGGTCGAAGTACTTACACACAATCATTTTATGTTTTTACAGTGACCACAAGGGAATATGATACATATTATAATGATAATGTAATTATACTTAAAAACGAATGTTGAGAAAAAATTATAAGATGAAAGAAAACATTTTCATGGTATACATGTAGTTCATCCCTTGCAATATGTATTCAACTTTCGTCAATAATGTTTTAACATAATAATTGTGTTGTACTTTTATTGTAGTAATCATGAAAAAATAAACTTTATTTACCTCTATTTCTGTTCTGAAGGTAGCATAACGTATCAATAATTTATGACATTTGTATAATTATATAAAGTATGTAAGCATAGGTTATGAGTTAAGGTTTTTTTTAGTTATCTAATTGTGAGTTAAGTTTCATTTTTAGTTATCTTAATTGTGAGTTAAGTTTCATTTTTAGTTATCTTAATTGTGAGTTAAGTTTCATTTTTAGTTATCTTAATTATGAGTTCAGTTTCATTTTTAGTTATCTTAATTATGAGTTAAGTTTCATTTTTAGTTATCTTAATTATGAGTTAAGTTTCATTAGTAATTACAATTATTATACACTTGTTAATGTAATGTCGTTATGTCAGTGACATTTAAACGTCATGTAGATATGAGTTTTACGTAGGTTTATGAATATCATTCATTTTTGAAATGTCATGTAGTCTCAAATATCGCATTTAGTTTCACCTATTCTATGCAATAACATGAATTTTATGTCGTGTTATGAAAGTATTTGTTATGTAAATGTGAATGTCATGTTGTTACACAATGAAACAGAAAGTTATATAGACTGTCATGTGGTTGTCATTTACAGAATGTATAAATCAATGTTAGATATCAGTTAACTATTGACTATTTGTCAGTCCCGTTGATAATTTCACTAACGTATATTGTACTAATTTTCGACAAATAAGATGTTTTTCAAAATTTTGTGACGTAGTTACCCGACTTCATGATGACGTCATAATATATTTTTTGTACGGTATCATGTATTTGTTTTTTTACCATTAATTATAATATATATATATATATATATAATTATATATATAAGATACAGATTTACATAAGCTACTAAGCGCATTAATTAATGTTTATAAGTTACTGATCAAATTCTATTGTTTTGATTTGCATACACAGCAGTGGTGTGTATATATACACATGAGTGAATGGCGGGATAAGGGTTAACCGTTTAAAAGTTATGATATTAAAATGCACCTTAATAGTTTTGAAAACAAAATATCGTTTACTTTCTTCAAATGCGTTTCCCCATCAAATATTTGATTCTTCTTATTCAATAATTGTTTGATGTCCCTGAACGTGGGAAACAGACTTTCATGGGTAAATCTAGAATGTACTCGCTCTTCGATACAATAAAATACAACAGTAGATCCCCATGTAGAAAGCACAGGAACCCATGTCGAGATTAACATGGAATTGCAGGTAAACGATTGAGAATATTTGAATTAACGTTGTGATCATGAAGTTCGACGGGCGTGTTTTTTTTGGTGGAATACAGCATTCAACCAAACAAAAAATTTGTTTACATTTTCAACTGGTAAACAAATAAAAGTATTTCTTTACCTGTCATTTTTAACTAAAAATGCAAATTTAACTGAAAACGAATAAATTTTCGTATAGCCTTGCCATTACGACGCTTCTCTGTATTACACTCTGTCATTATTAAATGTCTTTCTTCCTCTTCGGTCTTTCCATTTTCAAACATCTGCTCTTGCCTTGTTTAGTTAATGGGTTGCTAAGACTTTGTCAAGATATATATATATGCTTTCTAAAATGTTGGTTTTTACAATTTCTGATACCTCAACAATTAAAAGTTTCAAGTGAAATTCCAAACTCCAAACAAATCTGTTTTGTGTTAGCGCTGTTATATCAGCGTACTCGGAGTACAGGCAAATACTGTTTTCTACATTTTACTTCAAAGATGTCCCCATTTTCCCCTAAATATCTTTTTTAAAGATTAAATCATGCGTTCAACTTAATACTGTATTAAATGATACCGCAATTACACAGCTCTTCGTGTATTCACTTTTCGTCCGACGTCCTAAGGAAAGACTTGAATACAAATTTTAAGGATAAAAAAACAACGCTAAGATATTTGTTTCATTTTGTCATATTTAATATAATATATATAGATATCATTCAAATAGTACACAACAATTGTTTTTGATTTTTGAGAATAGAATTTAGAATAGAAAATTCCATAAATAATCCTTTTTACACATAAATAATAATCATACACAAAATGACTGCTTGTGTTTTGCTCACCTATTGGCATGCTGGCATACCTTGGTGTGAAAGTAGACATTTAAACAGCCTCGGTTTCAACACTGGCGATACACTTCCCCTCACGACGACCGGAAACAGGCGACCAGCTTCTAATTAGAACAAACTGATAACCGGAAGTTAGCATCCACATATTGTCAATCAATTCGCATTGATGCTGTAGTGATGGTTTATTATGTCAACAACAGGAGAGATAAATTGTCCTTCAGAAGTAATTGTTTAAAATATTTCCTGGAATAGTTCGTTTCTCATTCATTGATTCAAATAATTATCTTCGAGAAAAGTTCAGTGTCCGTAGTAAGAATTGTATTACTGCAAACCATTGTTATTAAGTCATGATTTAAAAAAAAAAAGTTCTAATGAATAATGCTGAAATATTGGTATATTCAAAGCAGCACTTTCACGTGTAAGTCCAAATACAATATTTTGGCAAACATTCTACCCTGAGTTTTTAGTTCAATTATCATTGTATGCTTTGATTTCTCGATATTTTGACAATTGTCTTTTAATATGCCCTTGACCTTTGACACGAGCCTATTTGTGCTCTGACCTTGAACGCCTGCACAGTTGAACACTTTTGTGGTACGATGACACAAAGTCTCTGTCATATTGCCTCGCGTCCCTCCCTAGCTACACCGATGCGACACACCTACCGAGGAAACCTGACTTAAGGTTTGGTACAACTCTGTACCCGCGGGTCCCCCGTTATCTAGGTATGATAATTGTCCTTCACGTTCAAAGTGAGTACATCCGTGATGAAAGTCTTTACTCACGAATGTCACGCTTGTTCGACTTTCATATGAGCGGAGGTCAATAACGTTGACCAACTGGGAGCTGAAGGTCATTGTTGGTCCGTTATATCTGGGCTTAAGTTGTCAACAACTACTGTTTGTCCCGAAATCAGCAAATGCTAATGATGGTAAACCATGCCTAAGCTACCGCCAGCAGGTAAAGAATAACTAAAAGGAGACATCATAGATTGTGGAAAACCCTGAGGTCTTCCGAAATGTCCATTATACAGTGCGGCGGCGGCGGGAAATGTAACTCCTATGTGTGGAGGTAGCATCGGTTTGGACGCCATCTTCAATTTCTCTAATTCTGCCTCATGCAAACGTTTTGCCTTTGCTCGTCGGTTTTGAAACCAGATTTTCACTTGTGTCTCTGTAAGGTTTAATGATGCTGAGAATTCGGCTCTTTCTGCTATGGATAAGTACTGTTTTTGTCTGAATTTTCTTTCCAAAGCTAAAAGCTGTGACGTCGTAAATGGTGTTCGTGGCTTTCGGTTGGTTTTGTGTTTCCTTAGCGTGCATTTCTGTGGATTTATCCTTGCCGGACTGGTAGGACCTAGAGAATTGCAAAAAAAAAGAGAAAAAAACAATTAAATACTGATTATTGGTTTAAGAGAACAGTGAATGTCAAACACATGCACCGACAAAGAGGAACGACAGAAAGAAAAAATATCGTACATTCTGTATTTTTCACGAGTTTTTAATTTTAGCTTTATTAACAAGAAGACGGAATCGGCAAAAAAGAACACGGACTTTATTTCATATATAGACCATATAAATAATTGTTCGGATTTGCGTGAAGGAGATAAATAAGCGAAAACTAAATCGTAAAAAAAATATTTGAAATGAATTCGCAAAAAAATATATCACGCGTAAATAAACTGATATACGGTAAGCACCAAAAAATATCGACCGCTAGGAAGACACAAGGCAAATTATTTAAAACTTCGATACAGCTCATGAACAAGAGAAGTAAATACCGATTTGAACTAAGAAGATAACAGAAAAAATCAAAGATAGATATAATATAGATTTGAAGGTTCATCAGAGCGACAAATTAAAATCAAATGCCAATTGATTAGATTTACACGATGTTAATTAAGCCTTCGCTGTATGTACATATATCGGGTATTCATCGGTAGACAATGATGTAACAGTCTATTAACCTATTTCGCCTGTTCATCAACGGAGATACGGGAACTGATATACATCCGCGTTAAACTATTCAGAATACTTCTCGGGTGAGATAGAGTTACTGATATACCACATACGCGTGGTCATCTGGCTTTAGCACAAACAAAGACTCATCACTGTGGTCAAGTTTGCCTGTGGGTCATCTGTCAATATCAGACTGACCGCCAATGTCCATGGGATGAAACGATAACGTGATTGAAACGGACATAATATCATACTAATTGGGGGGATTTTATCGGGCAGTTTAATGCTAAGCTCTAACCGTTTTATTGAAATTAATTATTGACGCCCTTAATTAAGTGCAAAAGTTGAAAGGCTGTCTCGATAACGGATAATTTATCTTTCGGACTAGGAGAGGAAAACTGCGTCACAAGATGGCCATTGATTAGGTGCGTTACTGAGGTGACAGTTCATATGCTTCGTGTGTCAAGACCTAACCCTAATTATGCTAAACGAATAGGGATAGCGCCCTAATTGAATAAAATCAATGATAATTAAAATTCTTATTTAACGGCTTCCGTAATGGTTTGACAACGTTGGCGTACCGTGTCACTTTTAATTAGGGAGCTTGATGTGTTTTCTTCAACAATATCCCAATGTAACCGATGAATTAAATATGTTATTTAAGCCTTCTAATAATGCGATAGTGGCAAATTATGAATAATGACTTTTGATGTGCGCTTTTTTCTTTAATAATAGCTTCAATATTTAATTTCCTGTCTTTTGAATTAATTAAAAATTTATGATTTATATCTGTTCTGAGTATTATTGATTTATTAATAACGTGTCAAACTCAATATTTAGAAAGTTTGATTGTAATTGCAACACGCTTCAGCCACAAAATAAATATAAAATATGAGTGAAGCTTTCTATAGTTGTGGACAACGAATAAAAAACTGTTAATAAAAATACTGACGTATTTGACAAAAGAAAATTATTTTTACAGTGTATGTTTTTGTAATAAATAAAAGCATTCTATTCAGAGTTATATTCCCTATTCATACACTATCCCTAATAAAGTCATTTCATATTTCTTGATAAATTTGTTTCATAATTATTTTTAGGAATAGCTATATTGTTTACTTGTTCAAATGTTTACTGAGATTTATACCTATATTAAAATTATTAAACCTTTTTGGGGTAAAAAAAAAAAAAGAATTTTAAATGTTGACACTTTTAATTATTCTGATCTCTCTCACCTCACTTTTGAACATTTTACCTAAACAACATACACAGCAAACTATTATTGTTGTTTTGTTGTCGGTTTTTTAATTGTCACTCAGAAATCCATTAATTATATACGGGTAGGCAAAACTGCTTATGGACATTTTATTTTATATATGAAATAAATATAAGCAAACAATGAAGTTGTTTACTTTATCAAACTTTTAATGTGACAAATGTTCATTTTTCACACCGGAATAAAATAGACAAGAAATCCAAACAAACATACAATTGGCTTATCGAGGATCGAAAGTAAGATGTGTTTTGTGTAACTTTACGATAGCTCCAGGGGAACATCTTCATGTCTTATCACCTAGACCAAGCCTCGCGCAATTTATGTTCGCTTTTCAAAAGAAAACAATTACGCCCAAGGGGGAAACCATGTAGAAAGGTATAATGTTGTTGACGATTTCCATTTTATTTATTCAAACAAAGGGGATATTTTGGGAGATAAATCACCCTATTAAAGACTATGTCTTTGGGATAGAGTTGTACGCTAACATCTAGCCGTTGATATTAATCACAGATTTGTATATTAATCAGCATTGAAAGGTTAGGGCTTAAGAACGACTAATGGGGTATAGAAACCTGTTAAGTACTCCCGTCAATAACAAACAATGCGATGAATTGTTGCTAGTACATTTGAACAATGATAAATGTTCTCCCTAATTGTCATCGTATAGAAATAAATATATAGATAATGGAATTCTTACCTTTGTAAAGAAACAAATGATATACGGATATTGCCGAATTAGAGAAAATATGTTTAGCATTACCTAAATAAAATAATACTTATATATATACATTGTTTAAAGAACAATACTTATCACTACTTACAAATAATGATTCCAATGATGATGAAATGTGTATGTTTTTATAAGATATATCCTATATAAAGAAACTGAATGATTATCATTATCTCAGTAAAATAGAGTTTTCACACACAGTCGTCTGATTAAAACGATGTATAAATGTATATAGAAATATAAATAAAGTATGACATTAGTGTCTTTGGGAAAATATCCGAACTTACTGTCAAAATGAAAAAAACGTTTTTGGTATTAACTTCGAAAAAATTGACTTCAATAGTATTTTTTTCAGACAGGCGACATGAAATGTTGAATTGTTTGTTTATGATGTAAAAATCTATTTATCACATCCCAACTTCGTATTCTTCTTCTGCGCTATTCTTAAACGAATACTTTTTAAATTTACATAAAACTTAAAATTTCAAATTTTCTAAAATTAATTTTATTATTACATATATGTAGGACATCTTATGAAATTGTTACGATAAGTATCTCATGAGTATATCCATTTACACAGAAACAGGGTGTATCTCACTTTGTAATGTAATTTATGTATTCATATTTGATTCAATTTAAAACGATTTATTCACTTGAGCAGGTGATACTTAAGATATTTTCTCTATAGAAAATACCAACTTAAAAATCATATTCCGAACAATTTATGCTAATTTGTGTTTACATATACGTTATTCACAAAGCTTGGTGTAATTTTATCTTGTAATGTATATAAAATTAAAATCAAGTCTGTATTTAAATTATTTAACTTTTACCAGAATATCAAACTGCTTCATCGTACACTTTTTGAAACCTTAATAACTGTTTTAAACTCATGTATTCAATTTATTTTTTAATTTTAAACAAAAATAATATATAAGCTATTTTAATATATCTATTTTGGAAGATGCCAAAGCGACAAATTTATATTGGTATTTGAAACACAATGAAAACATTTAAATTAAAATCTTCTTTTAAATAATTTATTGGTTGGCTTTCAAATTCCATTTGTGTTAAATGATAACTTCTAAATTCAATAAGGACAAAGTAAAAGTATAATAGGATAAAGACAATAATTATTTTTTAACTTTTAGAGGTCATCGTTTTGTCTATACAAAATTTTGTATTTTAAAGGGCTTTATTATTCGTTGTTTGCGGCCGATAAAGAAGATTATGATAAAGTTTCCCTTGCACCATTATATAATATATCAAAATTAAAAAAAAAAATCAGTTCAATTTTTACTGAATTTAGTTAATATGATAATGTAGTTTGTGTATCGCATGAATTATGTAACCACGAATGCGTTTAGTACATTGAAAATTGAAAGAAAGAAATATAAATGTTTCAATATTTATGCGAGTTACAACATATCTTATATGATGTGATAAATTAACAAAACCACAGATCCCCTTAACGTCGGAAAACTGCAGAATTGTTGATCCCGTGGGAGGGAGACTTACCTTTAGGAGGTGACAATGTTGCCCCGGGGAGCCAGGGGAATGACGCCGCCGTGTAAAACCCGGGCCAGCGTCCTTCCGACGGGACGTGGGACATGATTGAGGAAGTTGCATTGGCATTGTCCGAACTTCTCATTATAGAGTGATGTTTGCTTAATATTCCCTCCATACTGAAAGGTCCCATGGAAGATGTGGTAATTTTTGGGGAGTCCGTACAACTTCCCTCATCGGAACTGACAGAGTGGGGAGAATCCGATTGTTCTCGGTCCTCCTGGAGAATATTGGAGCAGGATGTCTTTTCTGACATTATCGAATCCACACTGAATTTTAGCACTTGTTTCTGTCCTGCCGATGATGACGATGAAGATGATAATTTCGATGAACATTGTATTAAAGACGGGGGTGATTTTTCCGTTGAAACACTGGAAACATCTGTCAATTCTCCACTCTGTGTTTCTAGTTTTTCATTTCCAGAGTTCAATTTACTAAAAGCAGAATTCGAACTGGCTGTCAATGATGTTGGATGCATCTTGAAATTATATTGAAAGTGAAAATAAATTCACTCAACAAAAAGTTTTTAAACTTTGTAAATCATCCGTTTTCAGTATACTACTGACATCATCCGGGTAAAAATAAGCATCCACGGACTTGAATAATATTACTTCTGTTATTAAATGAGTTCAGTAACTAATGTGAATAAAAAAACCCAGAGCGAACCATCCGACGTCCTCCATGCACACTGCTACAAGTCAAGCACAACGCCGGAGTGTTGTGGTGCTCCATATGTACTCTTCCGGAAGTGACGTCACGGAGTTAGAAAGTCATCATTGGTGAGCCTACAAATTGATGTGTAATGGAAGTTAGATGATCACCATACAATGTGTATGGTTAAAACTCACCCATGCGTGGAAAGATGGGGTGTACTAGCAAACAGGGGCTAATTTGAAACACTCGAACGGGTGAAATCCACGCAGCACTGGATAAAGAAACCTGTCAGTTTCATTGACAATGTGAGAGTATGAGGGATACAGGCTAAAGAGTATCGGACCCCAGTCGTCGGCCTCTGTTTATTTAGAGATAGATGAATTCAACTGATTTAAAAGTCACACTTGTTATTTCGCCCCTATTTAAGGATGATCAATTACCGACAGTGTAGAATATCAGTATTTCATTGTTAGGTGTATATCACCGATGTCAGGACACAGAAAGAGAGAGCAAGGCCTGGGAGCAGGAGGCGCCAATCCGACCGTCAGCGGGAGGGGGCGTGGCCCTACCGTCACCGCTAACGCGCCTGTCGTATAAGCGACATGGTGAGAAACTAAACACGCTTTTATCTCCCTTTTGTTCCCCACACACCCCCACGAGCACCAACCCCCGGGAAATCTGTCCCCGTGATATCTCCGATCCCTAATACAACTTCTCAAGTTTATCCCTTGTGGGTATATATGTGCGGCCTGTGTATCGTTATGCGGCATGGTCTAAGTATACACTTTTAACAGTATGTTATCAGTTCGCTTTTCTACTTATCAAAACCATCAGAGCGTTTTATTGATAATACTTTGTAATATACATATTTTAAAGAGATAAAACGGTGTTATTATTCAACGAATAATATAACGTATATTTACTACACTCTTTGATATTTAAAATCGTATATATAAATTTTAAAATATACTTAGTTATTGCTACTTATAAAAAATGTAATTTAGAAAAGTTAATGTAGCGTGTTTAGAGAAAGTTTATGCATGAATTTCTTTGTTCAGTTTCCCTTGATCCCCAAGGCGTTAAATATGGTATGACCAAGGCTAGCATATACAACATTTTAAGTAATTATAGGTGTAACGATGTTTAGATATACCGGTATATTTCACAGTGACTTAAACTGTCATTATTTATCTACATTTCTTTGATCTAGTTACTGGTATTTCCAATTTCATACCCACACATAAAGTTTAATTTGAAATATTTGAAATCACTCACACAATTTAAGAAAAAAAAATGTATATTTTTCTTTTTATCAAATAATATGTTTTAATCTAAATTCTGCACGCAAGCAAATACACACGTGTTTAGAAATGTAAATGACACATATGTTAGGATGAAATACTTTCATCTGTATACATAAAATACAAAAATCATAGAAGAAAATAAATTAATTGAAACACCCTCTTCCGCTGTTGAGATATGTTCTATTTTTCACCCCAATCGAGATACCTGTTTTCGCCGGACGTGAGATTTATATTAAAATTTTGCAAGTATATATGCAAGTGAAAAGAGTAATAGATATTTTGTCGTATTTGATAAGAAATATACACTACATATCATTTTTGTTTTAAATGAGTTGATTTGGCTTGAAAAAAAGTATTGATTATTCAATCATTTAATATTTTTTAATGTATAATGAATAAAGAATTATTTATTCTGTACGTTAATACATTTTGTACTAAATCAAACATACTGACAATATTTTCTGTAACACTTTCTTTGTGATCAGAAACGGAGAAATTTATGGAAGGCTTGGTGTGGTAGAAGATGTAATTTGAAACCCCCCCTCTCCCCCCACCCCTCACNCTGGCATCCTCAATACTACGTGAGCGCGCGTAACCCCTGGAGTATATCGAGGTTGGGACACTGGGTGATAATATAACTCTCACCTGTCTGCATATAATTCGAACCAGTATACATACATACATAATCTGATTGATTAATGAATTGATTACACTATATTCTCCTTGTTTTAATTTAAATCGAGTCTAGATAATTATAATACATGTAGTATATATACATGTATATACCTAATCATCTCAAAGGACTATCACAGGCTTATCAACGATCATGAGTTGAAATTCCAAGGTTAAGCCATACATTTGAGATTTTGCATATATTCATATATATCAATAAATTTAAGTTAAATTTATAAATTCCACAATTTTTAAATTTGAATTTAGATTTGTCAGTGACAGAGAGAAATATCTACCCAGTAACTTGCATTTGATGGAGGGTCTACATATATACAGGTGAAGCAATTTTCACCCCAGGATCACGTGCAGCACAAGGGCCGGGAATGAGCTGCATAACATGCAGCTTCTGGAATTGCATTGCAGAATATCAAATAATTCATAACTCTAAACTTATTTTTCAACAACAATTTGTCAATAGACCATTAAAATGCCTTAAAAATTTACATCAGAAAATATGTTTCTGCGAATTCAATTCAAATTGAAATTAAAACTGTATTTGTACATGTATTTCGAAATAATTTGTAAAATGTTATTTAAAAATCATACGTTTTACAGACTCATCAAACTGAACAGACAAGTGTAGAAATGGAAACACGGTCGAATCATCTAATAACATTTATTCGGATGTGCACTTATAATTCAAACTATTAGATATTCTGTAAGAAAATGTCTTTAAAAAAGTTCTAATTTGACAACATACTTCATGACATCTTATTTTAAATGACACAACAAAATATTGTTTAAACTGAACTTACACCGAACTGTATAATCCCAATGTGTTTGATGATCATCCTCAGACGCAAGCATAAAGGCATGACTTCGCGCACATGCACGATGTCTTTTTCCTCGGATGCACATTAACACGGAACCGAAAAGGTGAGCATGTATTATAATATCATATATTAGTTTATAATAGTATATATTATCTTATATGAATTTATTACACAGCTTCATCATTATGAAATATGATATGTGTTACAATTTTCCTATGTCAGTACCGCCGAAATATAATAAACTGGAATTCTTAACTCGAAAAAGATAAAACACTGGTCAGTACAGTATTCCATTCCGTACTTCGTTTTTTATTTTATCACGACAATGTAAAGATTGATTTTGAGATAACCAATATTTATATATAGATATATATGTATATTTCTTTACAGTGACATTTGATCCTCCTTATCAAGAGAGTTCTAAATGCATCATACACATCTTTATTTTATTTCTTGTTTTAAAGATATACCAGAATTCCTTCATCGATAGCGCTTATCAAAATATGTAGGAGGGAGCTTATCCTAAGTCAAATCGCATGTGTTAATCTTAACTATTAGGTTATATATTTTTTCTGTACCATTAAGTTAATTTTATGGAGAACTTTTTTTGGTCACGTGATATCGCATAATACGGGATTAATTGTAAATTTTATTTTATGTCGTTCATTCCAAACACAACTTAAGCAAATTAATTTAAGTACAAACAGAAACAGGATACGGAAACAAGGTTAAAGCTTATAATAATCCACATCCTACAAATAAAAATTACGTAATTGAGATGAACAGCATGTTATAACTATGTTTCAAAAGATTTTAAATCTGTTTTTTGAGAAATAATTTTATGGTATTAATGGCAATAATAATGAATCGGAGTAAACGTGCTATGAGAGGAGGAGTGGGAAATCGATGGGGGTGACGAGGGGGGAGGGGGGATTGTTGAACACGTCCATTGTACAATGTACTTACCACAGACAATTAAAATATATGTAAGTTCAATATGGAATTAGTGGTTAAATAAAGACCTTAGTTAATGTCTTTTTATATGTACACTGATTTCATAAATAATGTTACAGAGAAAAGTTTTTAATTTTAGATGTAAAGCTCCTACTTTTGTTTTGGAAGTTAATATTACAATTTGTTTTATTATCAACACCTAGTTATCGCTACATAATTATAATCTGTTAACTGAGGTGCTTTTCAGTGTATGATATTCAAGGTATCTCATTTGTCGATTGTGTGATAATCTTCATTTTATAGATACTTCGACGAATTATTAAAGGCTGGTAGCTAGTTCAAGTAAAACAGAGAAATAAATCTCATTATAACGAATAATTTCAAGTTAGTTTTCGAGCAAATTTACAATTATTTCGAGAAAACAAAGTTTGATTGTATTTTATAACATCAATTTTAAAAGTATCATATGGAAAAAATATCAAATAGTTTCTAGTACACATCACATTTCCTGATTTGAAAAGGTTTATATACTGTAAAATATTCACGAGAAAAACGAAAAAAGGTTGCACCTTTTTTTTTTTTAATTCTACGTCGAGAGCCAAATAGAGTGAAATATTCACGGCACCATATGACCGTTTAATCACGTTTTGAATTCGAAACGCGTAATTTCATTTTCTTTTTACCATTGGTGTGTTACTTTAACTGCATAGGCGAGCAGTTCCACATATGAATAAGGCAACGCTTCCGGTTTTCTGTTGGGGCTCATACCTTCTTTCCGGTTTTCTGTGGGAACTCATACCTTCTTTCCGGTTTTCTGTTGGAACTCATACCTTCTTTCCGGTTTTTTGTTGGAACTCATCCCTACTTTCCGGTTTTCTGTTGGAACTCATACCTTCTTTCCGGTTTTCTGTGGGAACTCATACCTTCTTTCCGGTTTTTGTGTGGGAGCTCATACCTCCTTTCCGGTTTCTGTGGGGACTCATGCATTCTTTCCTTTTGTTTTGATTTTTTTCTCAGTTCGTATCGTTTTCGTTTTGTTTCGAATTTTAAAATAGATTTCGTCCACATGAACTAGTACTGACGCCATTGCATTTTCTCCTATTTCAATGCTTACCTGAAACGGAGTTGATTAGGAAATAAGAAACGAAATGAAAATCGTTATCGAATTAAGAATTAAAATGAAGGTGCAAACTCCTGTTTTGATTGTAGGCTTTTTATTCAATGAAGTACATGTTTGTTTAACATAAACTTTGGACTTTGGGTTAGCATAAAGTTATTGTTACAAACTTACTGGTATCGTCTGATGTTTTC